ATTGATTTTTTTGATTAGCTTTATCGATTCATTTTTTTTTTAAATTATCAATTTTCTTACGCTAAGAACCTATCTTACATTGTATGTGCCAAGTTTGGTCAAAATCAGTTGAATGGATCTCAAGTGAAAAGGTATCAGACATACAGACATCTTCTGTTTATATATATATATATATATATATATAGATAGATAGATAAGAAATATAGTCTTAAGGAAGGTTTGCTATATTTATGGGATAAAGTGCTCAATATCAGAGATAGAGCATGTGTAAATATAAAAGTGAACATTGAGGTCAACACTTAGGGGCAACAGTGTTTCATGCTAGATGCAATCATCAGGTCACACCAGCCAGATTCAGGCAGCCGATATATCCAGGAACTATTGCTCAAGGTTTGTAGGTGGCCTGACGATTGCATCTAGCATGAAACAGACTGTCACCTCTAAATGTTGACTTCAATGTTCACTTAAGATAGATTATATATATATATATATATAGAGAGAGAGATATCTTAAGAACTGTTGTGATGTGGGGGTCTGGCAAGACAATACTTAACTCAACAAAGTAATAATAGTAGTATTCAATACTCAACTAGACAAATCACTGCAATATTATTATCTTTTCTAGACAATTATCCAGGACTACTTATCATGAATGGCTCAGTCCATTCATGATAGTAAGGATGGTAATTGGCTCTTGCCACAACATCTCCCCCTTTTAAGACTTACTTCCTAGAGAAGTTATACTTCTTTCCTTTTTTGGTTAAGATCAAACACTTCTGTAGGCAGTCTTTTTCATAGAACATGTGGTTTCCTTAGCTATCTGGGTCATATGTACATTGAAAGCCTCATACAGAACCACCATCAGCTCCTCCTCTCAGATGCTCTGTTCATCCAAGTACCTTTTTCTTATTTGATTTAAATGTCTTATGCAGACATGTAAACCCTTTTATCATGTACAATAAGTTTCCAATACATCTCTTGACTACCCTATCTTCCCAGAATTCTTATTTATTTTTTTAAGTTTGAAAGAATACTTTTTCTCTAGTTTTGAAGTATTTCTGGTATTTTTTTTTTCTTGTTCGACATTTTTTTTTTTATTTCATTTTATATGCTAGCAGTTTGTCAGCCACTGATCTAATTTTCCTTGTGAATATTAGTTCTGCTAGGGACATACTTGATACCGTGTTAGGATTAGGTGTCACCCAATATACACATAAAAACTGCTGTAGTAATATCCTTAATATATATTTTTTAATGCCCTTTTGAATGTATCAACAAAGCATTCTGTTCGCCCATTCAATCTTGGATGGTAAAGACAGGAGATTTGATGTTGCATTGCGAAGGTTTTACAAAAACTTTCAAACTCTTTAACAGTGAATTCTATAGTGTTGCCCAAAACAATGGTATCCAGGATACCGTATCTAGTAAATAATTCATGCCAGAAGTTTATTATAATTGTAGAAGTTGGACTCTATATTTATTGTGAAAAAATTACACAATTATGGCACAAGGCCAAAATGGGAGGTGGGGTGAGGATGGTCATCACTAACTATCTTATACGTAGCTAATCCGATTCATGACCCATCCATACATTACAGTTTCCACATTCACCATAAGAACTCGTCCATCACCAATCAATCCTCCATACACCATAATACCGCATCCTCTCAAGAGGGACCTACAAAACACACCCCATACCATAAAAATATAATGATTATATATGTACAATTAAAAATTTACGGATGAATAAAATGAAAGTGGGGGAGATGAACAGAGTAAGAAACTAAAATGATACACAAAAGCAACTAAACATAACTGATGTTAGTAGGGCCCATCCAACCCACAAAAATGATAGGCCGCTGTATTCTGCCCATTTGGACAAAATCAAGAAGCTCTCTCACTAAGGAAGTGGGAAAAGGATAAAAATTATACACCCATGGGAAATATAAAACTGACCCAGTCGAGATAAAAGGTGCCAAAAACAAAATGGGGAGGTGGGGAATCTCAGCCTGGAACAAAACCAAAGATGTGGCCAGGGACAACACTTACTAGACTTACTTACACTTAGAAGTTGGACTCTTGCATTTTAAAATTTCTGGCCATTTGGAAAAACCATCAACAATGATTATGTAGTAGATATCATTCATCAGTTCTGCAAAATCGATGTATAATCTCATCCACAGTGTGTGTGTGTGTGTGTCTTTGGCCAAAGGCTGGAATTTAATTAGTGGTGATTTTGCTGGCATGGCAGCATGCTTTTACCAACCTCTCTATGTCTTTGTCAATATTGGGACAGTAGACATAATTGCGCATGGAGTGGGGCGGGGGGATTTCATTCTAGAGATACCTGGATGACCTGTATGAAATTCTTTCAACATTATTTTCTGAAGAGATGCAGGCATTACCACTATTTCATCATACATTAAAACTTCATCGCAAACTGAGAAGATATTTTCACCATCAGCTTTCAATTTAATTTTATTATCCTTCAATTTCCAACTTACTCGCTTCTTTTTTTTCTCTAATAAGAGTATCCACCTGAGGTTTTATTTTAATTTCATCCAACATCACAGGCAAATAACCTATAGTATTGCAGAGAACATTCTTAATTGCATTCTCAGCTCTTAGCGCTGCAATTACCGTATCTTCTAAAAAGTTCATATAATTTAGGTATGAGTCTTGACAAACCATGCATGTGATTTCGCTTTTTTTTTATGGCAGGAATTCTATTTTAAAATTGTAATTCAACAGAATTGTCCCCCATCGCTGTAGTCAATTTTCTGTATGTGCCAGGATATCCTTTTTTGACCTGAAAACATAGTGGTCTATCTGTAGGATGAACTTTCTTCTGTGCATGAATGTTAAATTTTTTTTCATCGCAAAAATTATTCCTAATGCCCTGTTCTCTATCTAGTTAGAATTTTTACGCATATGTCATCACTTTTACAGAGCCATTTTTGTGCTTATACAAAATTACAACAATAATACCATAGTTACTAGCAACAGTCACCATAATTATTTCTAATCTGGGATCAACATGCGAGAGAAACAAGTTTGATATTAGAATCTTTTCATTTTTTCGAACGTTTTTGGCATTCAGCCATCCAATTCCACTTAGAGTCTTTTTTTAGTAAATTATTTGATGGTGCTCACAAAAATGCATGTTCAGAATAAAAACAATTTTCAAAACCTAAAAATGCTTGTAAAAATGACATTTGTTAGGGAGGGTAATAAAAAAAAATTTAAAGAAATAAATAAAAAATAAAAAAACACAATCTGGTTGGTTCTGGTTTCCTTCTGTTTTTGCAATGATTTGGCCCAAATATTTAATTTTCATTTTGAAAAATTTGCATTTCTCATTGCTCAGTTTAAATCCATATTTGTTTATTTTTCTGAATACCTCATTTAAATACTGAATATGCTACTCCTGGAATTGTTGCTGCTGTTGATGTCGCTGTTCTTGAAGCAGTTTTATTAATTAATTCCAACATTACTGCTTTCAAGTCCGCCATTTTTAATTGATGTGAATGTATATTTCAGATGTTTTAATCTTCCACTGTTTCCAGCATAAGGTTCTTTTTTGTTTTTTGGGGGTGTTTTTTTTACATACCGATTTCACAAGTTGAAAAAGAACAAAAAAAAAATTAACAAAAAAAACAACAAAAACAACAACAAAAAAAAAAAAACCAACAAAAAAACCCCAAAAAACAAAAAAACAAATCCTCCTCATCACTAACTGTTGCATTGTGGGGTCTGGCAAGAAAACACTTTACTCAACAGAGTCAGTCATAATAGTATCATTCAATAATCAGCTAGACAAGTCACTTCAATAGTATTATCTTCCTCCTTTGACAATTACCCAGCAACACTTATGAATGGATTAGTCCATCATGATAGTAAAGAGGGTAACAGCCTCTTAATATAACAAGAACCAAACCTCAAGTCATACAATGCCAACAGAGGAGACATTAGTACCATTTCGTCACTTTTTATTAACCTAAAAACTTGAGTCATGTTCTTAAACAGCTTCATCAGATCATGACTTTCATATGGATGATATGCATAGTGCCAAACTCGTACAGAAATATCTAAACTGTCAGTTGAAAACAACCACTTTCTCATTAATGGTTTAAAATGTATTTAGTGAATTAATCCTGTAGGTATTAGCAAAGATCATCCTTCTTCGAACCTTGTGAACTGGAGCCTACAGAATCACAAAAAACTGTACCAAATAATAGAAACCACATCAATTGAGAACTTTCAACATCAGTAACAACTAAAATAGATATCACATGAAACTTGGAAAGAAAATAGTGACATATTCAAGACATTGCAGTTCCACATTAATTCAAACAAAAGATTAAGAAAGAACCCCCCCCCCATCAATACTTGAAAGAGCAATAGCAGTTAGTAGACTTGAGAAACCTTCTTGTATGGTATTCATCAGTCTCAAGAGACCATGGATTTGTGCCTGAAGAGGCTGATGTTAAGTTTTCTAGTTAAAAGAAATGGATAGGAAGAGTTTTATAGGAAAAGTTTTACAGAAAAAAAAAAAACAAAAAAAAAAACGGACTTTCAATTAAAAAAAAAAAAATATCACAAAAATTGAATTTCTCATTATAAAAGATCAAGTGCAATCTCTGTTGTGAATTATGGTATATCAACTGTCCAACAATGGTTAAAAGCCCTGCAATAAACCTACACATGCACAGCATAACTTTCTTTAAATGTTCCCACCCACCCAGTCCATCTTCATATTATTTTGTTGAGAAAGAACCAAGCATGTCCAAAACTTCTGGTTTTTCACATTATGTCATCATGCTTCTATTTTACCAATTGGATTAAAAACATACAATAAAATATTATTATTGTTGTTCACATTTCTTTCATTAGTCTGATATGTATATAAGAAGTGTACTCAAAAGTTTATCTTTGACTGAAATCTGGAGGTGGGGAGTAGAGAGAAAAAGAAAAAAATAACAGCAGCAAAATGTGCTTACTTTTATTGGTTCACGACTGAATTTCACTCTTGATGTTTTTTGTCGTACTTCTGGTTCTTCCTCAGAACTGAGTCCTTCCATTAAGTCATACTCATATTCTTCAGGTTGACTGTCATGCTGAGAACCACCTGGAGAGAAAAAAAGTTGCAACTGTTTCAACAAACTATCAAGAAAATAAAAAAAAAAAAAAAAAAGATATCAATCCTCAAATACACTTGGGAGAGGAGGGGGGGAAAAAAAAAAAAAAAAAAAAAAAAACACAGAATAAGATTCAAGTTCACTATTTACATTATTCAGACTATTGTCCTCATCTTTGTCGCCATATTTATTACAACATTTCAGCCATTGTATGCTCCAGCATTCTTCAAGTGATTGAAATGTTGAACTAAACCCTTTATTTCGCTCACTGGGGTAGACTGTTCTAGTTCTACGTGCCATGTTTAATGTATGTCAATTGTCAGTTATCTCCTGTTAATTCCCCTCTCCACTGCCTTAACCAGGTATTGAACTCCCATTCTTTGGATCCTGTCACTGGATCTAACACCTTTATCCACTGTGCCATATGTCCTCAAGTGGATAAAAGTGTTAGTTAGATCCAGTGACAGGACCCAAAGAGTGTGAGTTCAATACCTGGTTAAGGCAGTGGAGAACTTGGAGAGGGGAATTAATAGGAGATAACTGATAACTGACATCCATCAGACATGGTACCTGGAACTAGAATAGTCTACCCCAGTGAGCGAAATAAAGGGTTCAGTTCAACATTCCAACCACCTGAAGCAGGCTCGATGCAATTGTCAGGCCACACCAGCCAGAAAAGACAAAGACAAAGACAAAAAAAAAAAAAAAAAAACAGCACAGAACTACCTTTGAATACAAAATGGTTGATGCAAAGTTCTTGGAGCAATCCAAAATCTATTCACATGAACATTTTTTTTTTTAGAAGGGCTTCTTGGTTGGGCCAAGAACATTTTGCCACCTTTTCATATAAAAGGGTCAGTAAAAATGAGGAAAAAAAACAAAATCTCCATTTAAGACAGAAAAAAAAAAAAAAAAAAAATTTAAAACCTTTTCCATGACTTCATATACATATTTCAGTCACAATTAATTTGGTAAATGTTAAACCAGCCAAACTTCAGTCAAGAGAAATTATTTTATTGCCAAAAGGAATTCATTAAAATCTATTATGAGAACACTTAAAAAAAATAAAAAATAAACCATTTAAGAAAATTTTTTTTTCCAATCAACTTTCCCCCAATCAAACAAATCAAAATTTAATATTCTTACTCTTTAATAATTGAGTTATGGTCACAAACATTTTATTGCTCACATCAGAAATTGAAGCCTCATTTTATATCGTCCTATTTCCCTAGATTACCAAAAGGCAACAAACTGATTAAATAAATTTGAATTCCTTTGTTCTTTACAATCTCAAATAATGTACGACATCTATTTTTCATAATTATTAAATAATGATCATGTGAAAGACATTTCGTATTTTTTGGTTTTATACCAACTGCCCATTAGATTTTACAGAAGGAAGATTTCAAAATTTAAGGACTTCAAATTTTAGTTTTATTTCTTCTAATGCTTCAAGATATTAAATGCTTTTGTTTGACTCCTGGTAAAATTTTTTTTTTTTTTATTTTATGGTGGGTATTTATTCTATTTACAGTGTTCAGGCTGTTGTCCTCATCTTTAGCGTCATATTCACAATATTTCAGCTGTTGTATGCTCCAGCCTTCTTCAGGTGATGTAAGTTTTTGTTCAACATGTAGATAAAAGCATTGATTGAGTAATCCAAAAACTGACTTGATCCAAAGAGTTCAATACCTGGCCACAGAAGAGGTGGACAAAAATTTGGAGAGTTGAGTTATTAAAGGGAATTAACTGAAACTGAGATATCCAGAAAAGGCATGGCATGTGGAACTAGAACAATCAACGCATGTGGACTAAAAGGGTTCACTTTAAAATTCCAACGTATATCACCTGAAGAAGGCCAGAGCATACAACGGCCAAAACATTTGTTCAGACTGTTGTCCTCATCTTCGTAGATGCAAGAATTATCAAGATGAATAAATCTGTGTTAATAAGTATTCTCACTTATCAGTCAATCGTCATATTTCGAACTTCATTGTAACCCAACTGATCTCATTTTGCCTGTGGAACTCATTCAAAATCATTTTATGCACACTCAACAAAAATTTTATTTTATTCAAAATCTAATTAAAGAGCCTTTTAATCAAAGAATTTTTTTTTTCTTTCAAATTTGGTTTACAGGCAAAAGAACTTAAAATGAGAAGCAGCAACAATTGTTCGAGGCATTTTCTTACAGAATTTAGATAATGAAATTAGGCAAGCTTTTCAAAATGAGATAATTATCTTCAGTTCCAACCAACATTAAGATGGAAAGATGCCTGAGAGAAATTCTTATGTCAATGGAGAAAAAAATAAAATAAAATAACTGAAAAGGTCAAGTGTTACTATTCTACAAAGATGAAAGCAGTTGATGCAGACATGAACTGTGTGGGTTTTCTTCAAACAAATGCATAAAAATAAAACTGGGAGATTAAATTAAAGCAGGAAACAATTTCATAAGAAAAAGAATTAATAAAAACGTATGTTAACTAAAAGTGTATACAAAAGGAAAAAATTCAAGTTGGCATATATTTGACTAAAGAAAAAAAATTCTATAATTTTGCAAAGGAGTATGGCAAGGTTGGAAGCAAAGTGGAGTAACGGATAGCAGCTTGGATTAAGGAATCGGAGAGCCGAGTTCTAATTCCACTCGAATCCATTACATTCACTTACGTGCTAATACCCTTGGTAAAGGTATGAATTCTCCTCTTCTCCCCCCAGCTATGGGTAAATAGCAGGAAAGACCAGGTTCTATAGCCTTGGATGGCAATTGGTCTACTGCAGAAAGAAATGGCAACCTACTGCAGGAAAAAATCTGCCTCATCAGTCATGTATCAAAAGATACATGATCACCTAAGTGTGTATCACACATAGCACATAACTGATTGATGTCTAGGTTATACAGTTTGACCTCTTTAATCTGGCAATCTGTGGTTCAGCAACTCCCATGGTCTGGTAATTTTTTGAATCAGCTACCATTAGTTCATTGAGTGGCTACAAGAGCAGCACCATACATAGTTTACAACTTTCCACAGTAGCAGAGTGTTTTTGTGATACGATCTCCCTCACTTCTTATATTTACCCATTCAGAATAGTAAATATTTTCTAAAGAAATTGGATTTTTATTAATCAGACTTATGTTTTTATAAAAAAATGTCAGATTAATAAATAAAAATCCATTATTTCTTTAGAAATTGCTCTGTTTACAGAGCTATTTAATAAGAAATGTGCATAATATTACATTGATTGCACAATGTATGTTCGTTTAAAACTCAGTAAATTTAAAAATAAGTTATTCCAAAATTCACTTGAAGATAAAACAGAACTAATGCTTTTAATTTAATTATATAATTAAATTTGAAGTTTTTAGCTTCAGTTATTGAAACATGGTAATTCCTGTATAGCAAAGAAACCATATTTCAAATCAGTTAATTTATAATATTTATGCTCTGTAAATTTACATTGATCACCGTTTTGTAAAAATAAAAATATCAATTAAGAACACCTGATTATGTTCTTTTTTATTATAATATATTTTCATTTATAATTATATACTTTGTGCAGAAAAGTATCATTATTATCTGTATTTTTTTTCCTTTTAACATTTCAGTGTGAGGCTGAAGAGACATTGTAAGATAGTCCCAGAACAAGATGAAGGAAGCTTCTTAAGTCTTCTGCGGTATGTTCCACAATTGACATAAGATTATGATGAGAAATATTAAAATCTAATCAGTCATTTGACCTGCATATTTTCAAAGGCAGATATTTTTAATAGGATAAAATTTCCTAATTTTTAAGATTAAAAGTTGTTGTTTTTTTGTTTCCTTAGTGAGTTTCATGACGACTTTACAAGTACATTCGTTTTTCTTGAATTTTACTATCAAAGACCTCTTTCTACTGTCAAGGTATGCATCAATAATACATTTCTGGCAGATGAATTTAAAAAAACAAAAAACCAAATAACATTCCATGAGCCTATGTCATCATCAGGCAAAAAAAAAAATTTTTTTTATCTCCATTCCATGTATGTCATAGTTTTATCAACTTCTGAACACTCCTTGACATTTTAATCTTTGCATACGGCTAAGTTCCATTTCTTAAAAACAACAGAAAGAAAAATGTACATTTCTTACAATGACATTAATGGATGTAAATACCGAACATAGAATTTGTTTTTTTGCCTTCAATTAATTTTATTGGAAGGACAAACAAATTTTTTATATATATATATATATATGTATGTATGTGTGTGTGTGTGTGTGTGATCCTTTGGTTATGTGGATAATTCCAAGGAGTTCCTAAGAAAAGGGATATCCAGATAAAACTCCTAGTAGAGAGTTCAATGCATGAGAATAATAAATCATACAGAGTATAATTAAGAAAAATTTCAAAGGAGGAATTAAATTTAAAAAAAAAAAAAAAAAAGACAAGAGGGAAAGAAAAGAAAATTTTGTGGTAGCGGGAGACAATAAATGACAGGAATGGGTAAAAATGAAGCCAGAAAGGAGAGGAAGATATCTTGTTGGATGAAGGAGTGTGGGGCGAGTTTTTAACGAAACTGTTCTAAATATCTCTTCTGTCAAATGCCATAAAAATAGATTATTTAAAAAAAAAAAAAAAAAAAAAATACAAGTGTGGCACAAGGTTGAAAAATTGGATACTTGTATTTGTGTAGACACTCCGTTTATTTATGAAACATTATTTTCATCTACGAGCCTACATTTTTGACATATTAAAGAAAAACGTGTGCTCTTCAGCAATCTTTAACGAGATTTCTCAAACATTCAGCCTGGTGGACAAAAATAAATATACAGTTTAATAAATAAATGAAGCTTCTACTCGAATAAAAATAACATTTACAGTGATAACTTAGAAAATCACCATATCTTTCCCAAGGGTACTTGCATGCAAGTAAATTTAATGAACACAACTGGAACTTGGCTCTCTGACTAACAATTGCAAGGCAGAAGGCATGGGGAGGAAGAGAGGAGGAAGGCATGGGGAGGAAGAGAGGAGGAAGGCATGGGGAGGAAGAGAGGAGGAAGGCATGGGGGAGGAAGAGAGGAGGAAGGCATGGGGAGGAAGAGAGGAGGAAGGCATGGGGAGGAAGAGAGGAGGAAGGCATGGGGAGGAAGAGAGGAGGAAGGCATGGGGGAGGAAGAGAGGAGGAAGGCATGGGGAGGAAGAGAGGGAGGAAGGCATGGGAGGAAGAGAGGAAGGCATGGGGAGGAAGAGAGGAGGAAGGCATGGGGAGGAAGAGGAGGAGGAAGGCATGGGGAGGAAGAGGAGGGGAGGCATGGGGAGGAAGAGAGGAGGAAGGCATGGGGAGGAAGAGAGGAGGAAGGCATGGGGAGGAAGAGGGGAGGAAGGCATGGGGGAGGAAGAGGAAAGGCATGGGGAGGAAGAGAGGAGGAAGGCATGGGGAGGAAGAGAGGAGGAAGGCATGGGGGAGGAAGAGAGGAGGAGGAGGAGAGAGGAGGGAGGAAGAGAGGAGGAAGGCATGGGGGAGGAGGGGAGGAAGGCATGGGGAGGAAGAGAGGAGGAAGGCATGGGGGAGGAAGAGAGGAGGAAGGCATGGGGAGGAAGAGAGGAGGAAGGCATGGGGAGGAAGAGAGGAGGAAGGCATGGGGAGGAAGAGAGGAGGAAGGCATGGGGAGGAAGAGAGGGAGGAAGGCATGGGGAGGAAGAGAGGAGGAAGGCATGGGGAGGAAGAGAGGAGGAAGGCATGGGGAGGAAGAGAGGAGGAAGGCATGGGGAGGAAGAGAGGAGGAAGGCATGAGGAGGAATGATTTGATTTTTTTTTTGACTGGTTAGTATAAAAATACAAAGACTATGGAAAATATTTCGTAAATACTGTTGTAGAACTCTGCACTTGTACATGTTTGAAGTTAAATATTGATTTTTTTTCCCTCCAATTATTAAATAATTCTTGGTTAAGAAAATCCTTGTCATACTTCTGACATATTTCACTTTATTACTTCAGTGTTAATTTTCAACATCAATCAAAAGAAAGAAAGAAATACTGAATTCTAACTCCTTTTTAAGTGCTATGACTCAAGACATAAGTTTATTATTGCTATCCATAGCGTCTTTTAACATCTTAACTGTGCATTAACCATGATTTCTTTTTTGGTAGGTGGGTATTGGGATAATGTAATGGTTTCCGGTTACGTTCTTCATAATTTCACCTTCAGAGTTATCCATCCCTTTGACTGGTTGCCTTAGTAAGGCTAGAGAGACCGTTCTACTCTTCTATTTCACCTACAGCTGAGTGGAATTGTATGAGAGGAGCAAAGAAAAAGTTCTGAAGAAAGAAAAATATTTAACCAGATTCTGGAAGAAGATTAAGCCAAGAACTTTTGAGTACACCCTTGTAATTAAAAAATGGGAAGGAAGGGCGTGACTATTTTCAGAAACTGAAAACTTGAAATATTGGAATTTTTTTTAACATGTGTCTTCATAATTTATGCAATTTGATTTTGTTTTTTTTTTTTAATACCAAAGCAATGAAGCTGAAGCTGATTATAAAGCCAAAAGAAAATTAAGATCTATATTTTTAAATATCTGAAACCAAAATTTATTTTGAAGATATAAAGTTCCATAGAAAATCTGTGTGGGTCATGTAATGACAAATTCTTTTCTCCTTAACCAGTTTTTTCATTTAATAAATATGAGGGGGGGAGAAGGGGAGAGGGAGAAGGGGGAGAGGAGAATGGGGGAGAGGAGAAGGGGAGAGGGGAATGGGGGAGAGGAGAAGGGGGGGAGAAGGGGGAGAGGAGAAGGGGGAGAGGAGAAGGGGGGAGGGAGAAGGGGGAGAAAAAAAAAAACACTTTCTCACTTTCTTTTTCAACTACCAGCACCAATACAAAGCAATTATATCCTTGTCTGCATTGGAGAGTTTTTAGGTTGTGAGATAAATTACTAAACAAAACTTCTGTTTGCTGTAACATGAACCTACTTAGCAATCTAGTTTCATGGCAAGTTTTGATTGCGTAGAAAAAAAGTCCGACATTATCATAATTATAGCACTCAAATCAACGACTGTAATCCTCATCTTTCATGAAGTCATCTCTCTTTTATACATTAATAGTTGAATCAGCTGCTAAAAATTCCAATTTAAAATCTAATTCATCTCAAATTTATTCTGTAAATTTACACTGTTACAATCTTATGGCTGTATCATATACATTTTCAAAATAAGCTAGGAAAATTTGATGGAACAACCATGCAAATGAATACTGTTGGCAGCTTATTAAATACAGGAATGTGTGCACGTGTGTGTATATTTTAAATCAAATGTATTCAAATATGGCAGTCAACAATTCACTTGACTGATTTGTGTTTTGTTTTTTACAGCTTAACCTTTTACAGGTTATTGAAATCCAGAACATATTTTTAGATTGAAAAAAATTTTGAAGATAATGATTTTCCAATATAGGTTAGGCTATTTAACCCATGTCTGGGGGAGAAGTGGATTCTCACCTTTCCCATAAGTGAATATAAAGAACATAATTGGAATTCAAACTGCTTTCTGGTTTCTCATTATCCACTACACCACCTATATATTCACGCTTATAGCATTTGGTAATCCCAAGAGATCACCCATCTAAGTACTTACCAGCAACATGATAGGGCTACAAGCCCAAACAATTTGAGTTGTACAAAGATTTAATCTATTGAACAAATTTGAGAAAATTTAACACAGTCTATTTTAGAGTGTGTGTATCAAACAAAGAAACAACTACATAATGGTGTAGTGGAACAGAAAGTAACAACCCATGAAACACCAAATATCATTGGTTTTATATATATATATATATATATATATATATATATATATATATATATATATATTAAATAATTTCACCACAAGCAAAGGCAATAAAGTCACTAAGACAAGGGGTTACTGAATGTGAGAAAAAACATTTAAGATAGATACCAATAAATGAACAGAATTCAAAACAATTTGAGTTGTTCCTCAAAAATTTAAATACAAAGTTGACTGGAAAGCAAGGATCTGGAAAACAAGCAAAAGTGTGAGAAAACTGTTAGTACTGAACTTGGTCACATCTAGCAATTTCAACTGTAAAATAATGAGACCTAGCTGCCAATCTAGAACTGTATTTAAATTCATATAGTCAAAGTACTGAAGAAGAAAGCTAATCAAAACAATTACTTTGTTAATATTTAGAAAAAAGAAACAGGGGAGATACAAGTGGTGGGAAAGTGACTGAAACCAAGATACCAGGTTAGGCCCAATAACATGGCAGATTATTTGGATTTTAATAAGAATGTTCAAATACATAGCAGAAGCATAAGACCAGATATGACAGTAATATTCAAGGCATGAATAAATGGTAGACTTCTAAACGTGGAAGATAGATTCTGATGAGAAAATAGCCTGTTACAAGACAGTGAACAAAATTCCCTAGCAGTGGAAATAGGATTTCATTATAATTGCTCCATTTCAAGAAAACACATTGAGAATTAATGCTAATAAATTTCAAAGTAGGAGACAATTGAACAAAATTTTAAAAATTGATAAAAAAAAAAAAAATTTACATTTGTCCCCTTCTTGCTTGCATTAGCCCCATTATAACTATTTCCTTCTTGCTTGATGACCCTATTAAGACTAAGTTTTAGTCACCATAAGTAGAACTTTTTACCAATAATTCCCCATAAGAGATCAATAATTTACTTTTTTTTTTTAGAATCAGAACAAAAGCTGAGGTGAGAATATGATTTAGTTTTGAAAAAAAAAACAAAAAAAAAACTAAGTGTTAATAAACTAATGTTCACATTAGCTATTTAAAAAAAAAAAAATAAAAAATAAGAACTCATTCTTCATTTTTTTTTTTTTAATGTTTTTCTCCCCCTTTATGTTGGTCTTTTAGGTTAGTAATTAATTTTATTCATTTTTATCTATAAAAATGAAATTGGTTTCTTAATTGTAAGATGAATTTTATCTTTTAGTCATGCATCAGTGTCTTCTCCTACCCTAGTAGTCGCCTAATTTTTTTTTTCAATTGTCCTTGTCTCATTCTTTTAGAAAAAAAAATTTGCAAACAATATATCTCTGAAGAAGGGTGGACCGAAAGGTTCCTTATATTCTTTTTCTAAATAGAATCGAGATACTTTCATTAGTTTTACTTAAAGCTTTTTATATATATATATATATATATATATATATATATATATATATATATATATATATATATATAAAACTTCCCAGAACCATTTTTTTTTTCCTTTCTTTGCTTTTTAAACTCATGACTAGTAGAAAACCACATCTTATTTTAATATAATCTCTCTCTCTCTCTCTATTATATATATATATATATATATATAAATAAATAAAGGTGAAACGAGAAAGCGTTTCATTTGCAAACATCCATCTCCGAAACATTTTTGTTCTTAAATACCATGAAAACAATTCTCAAATATTACCTGTCCAATAATAATTGTTACATTAGGTATATGAAATTTGTAAACTGATGTAACAATTTAGTAGACAGGTCACAACATTTACATAAACTGATATAAATTTACAGTTAATATATTGCATTTTAGAAGTAAAAATGGAACTCTTACATCAACTTCAGTTCTAAGATTTGTTTGTGTCAAAGTGGCAGTTTGTAATGGCTGTTCTTATATTTATTAAAAGAAAAAGGAAGAAAAGGAAAAAAAAAAAAAAAATCTCTACTAAGTTTGACAATTATTTTTCAACAATATCCCAGAAGAGAGTAATTCATTCTAATACCTTTTGAGTAGACAGTAACATCTGAACAGTGACTATAAATTAATGTGCCTATCTGATACACAAGTCTATGACAATATGTGCTAACTGTACAAATACAAAAAAAAACTATCCCAACTATGCAAAGTAAATTGCTTGATAGAAAGCAGTAGACATTAAGCAAAGATTATAAGATTATTTAAGAAAGACAAAGCAGGCAGATCTGTAATTTCCTTTCCTGATAGATTAATAAGAGACACTGTAAGATTAACAAAAACAAAGACCATCTTGTTTTTTTTTTCTTTTTAAACTCATAAATGAATATATAGCAGAAGACCATGTTTTATTTTAATATAATGTCTGAAAACTATTACAAACATCAAATACCAAGAAAGCCCACAGGGCATGTATATTTATAACATGTACATAAAGGTGGGGTGGATATTATGCTTTATTTAAATGTTAGGATTATATTGCATACTTCTATGTACCTATGTAGAAAGTGGGCAGTCATGGCTCTCCATAAACTTCTTATCTCTTGTGGCCCTCAGAGTTTCTCCTTTTGCCAAGCCTCCCACCCCATTGTTCTGCAATTCAAGTTAATCAAATAGGTGACCTGCTATTCCACCCCCCAATTACTCTTGCCTTTTATAATCCCTGTGAGTTATTTTTCCAAGCCTTCTTTCCTCATTATGTCTCCAAGAAATTTCAGCTGTCTCTTTCTGATTCTGAGTAGAAGTGGTGTTCTTGTAACCACTACACAACTAGACATGATCAACTGTTTATGCTGTGTGAAAATCATTTTTTTTTTTTGCTAATATTACTTTTATTAAACACCATATTTACATTATTTACAGCTGGACTAATATCCTTATCTTTGTTATCACAATGTTTTGACTGTTTTGCTCTCCATCCTTCTTCAGGTATCTGTCAATCTGGGTAACTTTCAGGGAAATTAAACTGAACCCTCACTTTATTGGGGCATATTGTTCACATTCTGCTGTCCATACCTAGGGACATATAGTCTTGTTCTCTTTTTAGTTCAGCTCTTTTATTGCCAGGGTCTGAGTCTGTACTACCCATTCCAAGGATTGAACTCAGAAACACTTTAATTCTCTAACTAACAATAGACAATACATTGCGAAATTCATGTGATAAGGATATTAATCCAACTAAATCTAAATGGGTATGTGGCTGAATAGTTAGAACATTCACTTTCCAACCATGAGATCCAGGTTCAAATCTCACCATGGTCGATTTATCATGAAGGAGATTTCTAGAGGTTATCAGACTAGAGAGGTATGTTCCTGGCATGTGGCACTTTTGGAAAGCGCCTGAAAACCATACAGCAGGTTGACTCAAGCCATATGAGTAAAATCGGGTAGACAGAACTATTTGGGAGTCATCGATTGTTGTGCTTATACAAAGTCATGTCATCAGAGTCAGTATTTATCAATCCACCCACGAGGAAAGAATGTGGCACAAGGCCGGTTTAATGTGGGTATCCCCGAGCCTGTAGGCTCGGCCAAAAATATAGCCTTTTTGAACCCGCCTTGACGGATTCAAGCCCTGTCTACCTCCCCGAACGAAACCTTGCCCTTCGGCAAAGCTTCGTCCAGGTTCCTCTCTGCTAATGCAGAGAGTTCGACAGATGCCGACTTGAAAGCTCACAAAGGCAGCGTACTACACTTTGATCCTAGCCCCCAGGCCGAGCAGCTCATCAGAGTCTCTCAATTTTTGAAGTCAAAAATCATTTCAGTTTGGCTGGGATATATTCTCTCATCTTCTATAGCAGGATTTCCCAGTATGGGTGATATCACCCACCAGTGGGCAATTTCAATTGTTGGGTTTGAGTGTACTGGCCTTGTTGAGACTCTTGATCATGCCGGATAATGCACTCTTTCCCCGAAACTCTAAAGGCCACTCAGAATAGTTGCAGTATGAACCACAGATGGACTTTGTGAGTGTTGAACAAACCTAAATGTGCTTGAGCAGGCATCTGCAACAGAGATTGCCTGCTTACTAGGGTAGCTAGGTATGGTCAGCTATTAAATAATCTAAACAACTCATCTCCAAAATTTCAATAGTGAAACAAAACTAAAATTCTATTTTCAATCATCTTTCAGACAACTTTGTAATTACATCCTCCCACAATTTTTAACTTTCTCAGTAAAACAAAAATATTCTTAGATATCATTTGCAGGCTCCCAGAGA